CCAAACCCCGGCTCTGTGCGCGTGGGGAGGCAGCAGGAGCAGCAGAGATCCCAGAAGACACCAAAGAGCTACTGACATGCAGCTTCTGGGAGGCTCTGTGGCTGCTGGTGAGGAGACGCGCGGCGGGAGCTCCCACGCGACCAGGACGACGCTCGGTCGCTTTGGAGGTCCGGCGCGAGGCGCCCGCACAGATGTGTGACCTCCTGCGGACGGCCCTGCTTGTGCGGGGCCCGAGCCCACCTGTTTGGGCTGCTGGAGCCACCTTTAAATGAAACAGCTGGATTGATTCACTCCAAACCTCAGCGTGAGGCGCAAGAGAGTCCGACCAAATCCCTTAAGGCTTTCTTGGTAGCAACCTAAGCTTGATTTGCATGTTAGGACAGTCTAAGAGTACCAATGAAGATAGTTTGCTAAAATACCGCTGAAGCCAAAAAAAAAAAAAAAAGGATTAAAAAACCTTATAAACAGAAAGCTCCCTCTAATTAGTTTTGACCCCCTTGTAGCTTTTACCTTCTACACCAAAGCCACCTCAGACATCTAAGGGGGGCTGATGGAAAATGAAATATTAATTTTGCCTGGTCTTAATATCTAACAAAGATGGTGCAAACACTATTTGACAGTGTTGTTTTTGTATCAATATGTATGTGCAGTAATGAATGTATTTATTTCTCGGATTCTGTATGCACAGTTTTGCAATGTAATTCAGAAAGTTGCAAACACAAAGATGTGTCCGCAGGGTCTTCTCTACAGGATTTCAAAAAAATGAAAAAAAAAATAAAAAAAAGAATCTCAGAGACTCTCAGCATAGCCATAAACCATAACCTGTGAAGACAATACAAAGACTGGACTTTTGTAGCTTTGCATAGAAAAGGAATTTATGTTTTGCTGTATTTAAATGTTTCCAGTTACAGTGTCATTCTTTTAAGATTCCTGTTTTGTTGTTTTTTTCCCTCTCTCGCGCGTGTGTGTGTGGAAAGCACTGCTTCCAAGCAGTGCAGGTTCAAAGTCTGGGTTAGCAGTATTTTACCGTGTCGCTTCAGTTACAAAAAGCAGGAGTATGGGTCTTGACCAGGGAAACATCCAGGGCACTCAGCGAAACCAAATGTACTCCGAGGTGACTGCTGGCAAAATCTGGGGAATGTAGAAGCCATGAGAGGAATAGCTGTGTGCTTCCCATTGAGACTTTGTGACTGGGACGAGCCCCGTGTCCCGCCTGAGCAGCCGCCTCGCGTTCCTTCAACTCCCTCCCACACTTACTGGTCACCGTGGAAGCAATAAGGATCTCCCAGGTGGGGAGCTGATGCCCCAGGTAGCTAGAGGAAGCTTCGTGCCAAACCCAACAGCTTCTGGGCCATCTTGGGATGGGCTCTGCAATTTATACTGAAGCATCAGATTCCCTGTAATATAAGGTGATTAAAGTCCCTGGGAAAAGCTGTATTTACAGAGCATCACATTCCAATACTGGTAGAGTTACTAGTTCTGTGACCTGCTAGAGCCTCAAAAAGTAGCATGGAGAAAGGATGTTTGGTGATTTCTGGACATAGACCAAATTCAGAAATCTTTCCAACCAGCTGTGCTGGAGTTAAGGGAAAAAACAAACCAAAAACAAACAAGACATGACCACATGACCACTCGTAAGTTTTTGAGGACTTTAAGAAGATCTAGACTGTAAACACCTAGCTCTCCCCAGATAGCAGAAATGTTCATGACAGATATGGTATGTCTGAGTAAGCACTTGCTTAAGCAAGAGTTTAAATGAGCACTGGACTGTGATCCTGAAATAATCAGCTGGACATTTGGCATTTTTCTTATATTTTGTTTAAACTTGTTCATTTGCTTAATAAACTCCCCTCTGCCTTTTTTTGTAAAGCCCTTTCTTTTCATAAATTTACTCCTGCACTTGAAAACTTGCCATATTCTTCAAACAGAAAAGTTGGGAGTTGCTTTCAGTAGCTAAAAGTAGCTTGTTGCAGTGTTTTAAGTCCCATGGTACTCGATTGCCCTGATTTTAGTGCAAGACAAGTAGCAGCTGATTCTCAGGCCCTTTCCACTGCTTGAATTTTGCATGTTTCGGGGTAGAAATGAAAGCAATTTCACCTCCTCCCTTTGATGATTTCCCATTATGGTCACTAAATTTATGGCTTTTCTCATAAAAGGCAAACATTTGGGATGCCCTGTGAGGCCCTGCCAGCTCTGCTTTAGGGCTCCTGGCTGGACCTCCTGGTCAGGAAACCTCTTCCTTTTAGCCCCAGTCCCTCTCTGTGCTGCAACCTTTATTCCGCTTCCCCCATTCTAACTACCTGGACTTAAAATACTGAATCATAAAGTGAGAGGCAGAAGTGCATTTTTGTCCACTTAATGCCACTTCATTATTGTCTCTGCCCCACCATCTCCACCATCTGCTTCTGCCTTTCCTTCCCCCTGTTCTCTTCCTAAGCATTTAAAAGCCAGTGTTGAGCACACGGATCACTGTTTTGGATGCAATAGGGAAGGCTGCAAACAGAATACTCCGTGCTACAAAACATGGTGGCAGTCAGGGGACACACTTACTTTCCCTCAAGAGTGGGGTGTACTGAAACTTTGCCATGCACAAGTCACCAATCGAAGCACCCAGGACAACTGTTGCTCTGATCCATAGGAGTTTTGGTTGGCTGAGGAGTTGTCTGTGATGAGAGGATCTTGTTCTAGCTGGCTGGATATTTTCCCCTTTTTTATTTTAATATTTTAAATACAACTGTAAAAGGGATGTTGCATCTCTCTCTCTCTCTGTCTCTCACTTTTTATTTTTTAAGCCTTAACTATCAGTCAGTCTAGGAGCCCTGGATGTTTCCCGGGGAGGGGGAGAGGAGGGCAAGGGAAGGCCG